CGCCGCCGCCGCCGCCGCCGCTGTCGCCGTCGTCGTCGCCGTCGCCCGGCGAGGACGCCAAGGTAACCTCATAGTCGGCAGCGCCAGTGCCTTTTCCACACGCGTGCACACCACCCTCCTCCCGACGCCCCCCAAGCGCCCAATGCCTCCAGGTCCCAAGACTGGCCACGCCGTAGCCCTCCAGAAAACCGCTCCAAGCCTGGCAGGCCTCTGAGAACATGGTAATGATGGGATATGGGATTTAGAGAAACGGCCCCGGACTTAGAAAATTCGTTTTCGAATATAACAAACCCGCTTTTGCGTTTCCGGAATGATGTTTTGTCTTGTTTTGATCGGGCGGCGCAATTTGATAAATCTGTTTCTCGCTTTAGTGAATCATCGTGTGTCGATAACTTGTGGTAATCATGAATATCGTTTATCCGATCCCCATCCCCATCCCCAGCGGCGTGGCCTGGGCACCGTCGGCCGATCTGCCCCCCTAGATGGGGACATAGGGCGTTCCCTTCGGGCTTCGGGGGGTGTATCCCCAACTGGGGTGGTCATTTGCCTCGAAGGGGCATGGGGCTGGGGGTGAACGTGCGAGCGAAGCCGCGCCCTGACGGCGCATTGGCAAACAGACGGCAAATGCCGATCACATGCGTGTCGGCATGCAAAGGAAACAAACAATTGGTGAAACGATACCGAAAGAGTGCGCGCCCACTCGATACCATTGACCTGTGCCAGCCGGTGCGTCAAGGCTGCACGGATGGAGGGCGGCCCCTCTTCACCGCAGGGGCTCTTCGCTCACGACGTCCTCGAACGATTCGTGGCTGCCCGCCGCGCCAGCTGCTGCCTGGCGGCGCGCACAAGGGGGTGGGGAGAGGGGGGAGGGCTTCTTAGGGGGAGGCTGCTTCTTAGAAGGCGCCAGCCTTACAACTATAGACAAGGCCCGCGCCTTCTAAGAAGCAGGGGTGCTTCTAAGAAGCCCTCCCCCCTCCCCCCGCCCCCCTCTGCGCGTGGCTGACAAACTGCTGCAATCTGGACGTAGGAAAAGGGTATGGTAGAAAGTGGTGTGGTGCAAATTTGATGTGCAGGGAACTTGGCGCTGCCATCTATCGCAGATAGCATCTCCATTTCCACGACTCGCACCCTGCCCCTTTATGCCACACCCCTTTCTGACCTCCAGATGTAAATACTGCGCCGCCGCTCTGATACGGCCTCCTCCCTCTCACTTCCCCCCCTCGCTCGCCGCCGAAATTGGGATCTGGGGATCCAAAGACACCTGCCTTGAACGACGGGTGTGCATGCTTGCCTCCTCGCTGCAAACCCTAAAGAACCTTCTGGGCCACGGCTTAAGCCTCAGCATCCAAGGGCCGGAAAACCGTTCAGCATTAGATCGGGCATGTCCTCCCACAGGCGGATTGAACTGAAGAAACATACCAAGTAGCCAAAACACGGGAAATAATCGAAAGAACACGAGATATCGTCCCCAGACTATTTTAAAACATGTTATTGAATATTCCTCCTGCTGAGGGGCATGCCCGAGTTAAGCTCGACAGCGACGAGAACGCTCGAAAACCTCGAGCCTCAAACCCGAGCGCAAGCTGTCGCCGTCCGCCACCAGGGAGGGAGAAGAAGAGCACGAAGAGGAGCGCGAAGACGACGATCGGCGACGAGCATCGGCCCCGCAGCTGCGACGACGGCCTGCCCCCCCGCCCCCCCCCCCCGGGACACTTCTGGGTCATCGACGTCCCCGACCTGCCATCGCTCGGACGTCCAATTCCTCGTGCATTTTCCGGCTTCGTGCGCGCATTTATTCGCAAGGCGACCCAGCATGTTCCTCGATGGTTCTTGCCGAAAAAGTCTCGGCGGCGAGCGAGGGGGGACGTGAAAAGGAGAAGGCCTTCTCAGAAGGCTCGGAAGTTTCCCGGCCGTCTTCCGGAAGCCCTCCCCGACAGCACAGAGAACTCCTCAGAAGATGCGAGGGTTTCTGACAAGTCCCGCCGCCTTCTGAGGCATCTCTGGATTGTACGGGAGTGACTGCATGGATACAGAGAGACACGAGGTACAAGTGGGGGGACCCGCGCTAGAAGAGAGCACGTTCTCCTTACTTTTACGGACGCGTGGGCGCGTCCGTCACCGGCGCGCCATGGTAGCTCAAGGGCCCTTGTGAGCCGACATGGCGGCGCGCAGGGGAGTACAGAGAAAGACGCAGGAGGAGGAGGAGAGGCAGACAAGGGCTCAGCAACCACAGAGTCCTTCTCTTCGCATTTCGCCCACCTTTTTCCAATCTGTTCTGGGCTTTTGCCTTCCCCCCACACACTTCCCATATGTTCCCATATATTTCCTGTGGATCGACGCTTGATTGTGTCTGTGTGTTCGTTCCCCTCCTGAAAAACAGCGGCGGCCTCCACGGTGCTGCACACGGACGTGAGCACCACGAGGGCCCCGACGGGGAGGGCTGGGAAGCTCCGCGCGCGGAGCCCGTCCACGCCGGTGGCCACCGATGAATGCACACGTCCGAGCGATGCCAAGGCGGCGGCGGCGGCGGGCGGCAGGGGCCTCCACAGCTCCCAGCGCCAGGCCCGCCGCTCGTGCCCACTGGGCCTCTCGCCACTCTCGCCGCCTGGCGGCCCGCGGCGGCAGCGGGGAGGAGGAGGAGGAGGAGGAGGAGGAGGAGGAGGAGGAGGAGGAGGAAGAGGAGGAGGAGGAGGAGGAGGAGGGCGGAGGAGGATTTTCGACAGGACCCCGTGCTGAAGCATACCTGGACACCGCACGACGAGCGCCCAGGCGCCGAGACGCAGACCTCTACGAGGTGTGGTCTCCTCTCGAAAGCAGTCCGAGCTTCCCGACGAGCCTGCCCGTGGCCTCGGGATATCCTCGCTACTCGCGTTTGGGGGAGCAGGGCTGGACTCTGAAACTCCAGGCTGCGTGTGAGGGCTGGAGAAGGCTTGGCGGTCCCGCGACGCAGCCGCAACAACAGTCACCGCGGCGGGACCGCCATAGCCTGGGTATAACCTTTTCGCGATGCGAGAAAGGTTCTACTTGCCCTTGCGAGTCGGCAAGGTGCATGGGTTCATCAGTCGCCTCGGATCGACCGTGGCCGTGAACCCGCATCGGGCGCAAAAAGTCAGCGAGTGTCTCGCCCAAAACTGCAGAGAGTGTGACTCGTGAAGCTCCTTTCCCCCCACCCGAGTCCCCCACTCCGCCGCCCGAATCTGATCAACGTCGATCACCGCCTGATGACGCATAGACGGCTGCTTGCACACGGTGATGCACGTTTCTCTGATGCCTGAGCGCGGCACGATGGCGTGGCAAGTGGAACAAACAAAGAACTTCTTGCCGTGAGCCTGACATGAGTGTTGGCTGGCAAGCAGCAGGTCTCCGAGCGAGCACGTAGCAATCCTGTCACTAGGCTCGGACGTCCTGGGGACGCTGGTCAGATCTAGCCTCGGCCAGTGACAGAGCAGGCGTCCCGCAAGCTTACACACCGCTTTTGAAACCCCAATACAAAAAAACAACGCCGAAACCTCCTTCTCGGAAGGCTGGGGGTGGAGTTTGGCCCCTGCTTTGGCAGCCGCGTCAGCCGCTTCGCTACCTAATCTAAGCCATCGCTCGCGCTCCGAGATCCCACTTTCTTGTGGGCTCAGATGTGCCTTGATTTTGCCGACTGAGGAAATAAGCTTGCTTCCTGGCTGAAACATAGCCATCGAGCCTGCGTATGGGCGCTTATACGACAATTGGAGCTCTCTTGGGGGCTGGGCAAGAACCACAACATTCTTGCAATCGCTATACACCGTAGACGGCCCTGTGACCTCCGTACCCGCTCTCGCCAGAGCGGTGAACTCTCCGCGTTGGGGCGTCTGCGGGAAGGGTGCAACGATAGGCGCGTAAACCGTGCATTGCACAGCGCCGTCGTCCCCTACTAAACACAAGCCATACCCCGCCCTAGAGAGCTCCGAAACAGGATGCCGAAAACAACATCCATCTACAACAACTGAACCGCTGAAACCGCCATCGTCTGGAGGGGGGGTATGCCAGACCACCTGGGTGGCGGCGTCGTGGGTCCCCTTCTTAGGTCTCGGGAACACGTCCCCAGGATGCGGGAAGCTCCCGCGGCAAAAAAAACCCTCAGTCAGGGGGTCGGACGGGTCTCCTGCCAAAGCAGTCTCGATGATACCCTGATCGATCAAACCCTCCCTGAGCGCAGCATGTTTCGTGCACTCCCACAGTCTGTGGTGGACCGTGTCCGAAGCTCTGCCACACTCTTCACACAGGTCGCTGTCAAGAGCGTACCTCGCTAAGACAGCACGGCTCTTCGCCCAAAGCGCGTCACAGCACAGACTGCGAATCCTACCTTTTTCGATCGCCGAAAATCTCTTCGATCGGACTTGTTCCCTGACGATACCGAAACACAATCGATCGCAAGGGAGGCTAAGCTTAGCGCTGGCGTCTCGCTCGAGCTGGCGGACGACCGCTTCTCGCAGCAAGGTCTTGAGCATCGCTGGGGCCACCAAGGTAAGCTGGATGGGGTCCCCGAAGTCAGAGGTGGCGGTGAGGAAGTCCGACATGGACCAGCCTATCCTAGCCAACGAGGCGCGCATGGCCGACAAAGGGCCGTTGACCTGTTTCCAGGGTTTGAGCGGCCCAGAGAGGGCCTTATCCCAGAGATCCCTCAAGGTGGGCAGGGGGAGGCAATGAGGGTAGGCCCAGGTGAAGGCCGCCCACACTTCTTTACTGTACCTGATGATGGGGGCCACCGAGGCCAACCACGTGGGATCCTTTTGCAGGAGGAGGGTGGAGGTGAGGGAGCGTTCCCCCGCCGATGGGCGGAGCACCTTCCCCGCCGCCCTCCTAATGCGGGAAAGCTCAAAATCCGAGATACCGTGTATCTCAGCTCCGTACAGAATGCCAGGCAGGGCTCCCGAGACCCAAATCCTTTGGCTGAAACGCCCAAGCTGGCTGGAGAGCTTTCCCAACCCTCGGGTAGTGGCCTTCAGGTGTTGCATGCGGATCCGGAATGTATTGCTTCTTTCCCCGTCCTCCTGGGCCTGCCACTGGGGTCGGGAAGAGGAGGAGGAGGAGGAGGAGGAGGAGGAGGAGGAGGAGGAGGAGG